AGACGAATGTAACACCTAATATGACAATGATGATTACAGCATTCCTTTAGATGCTTAGTACAAAATCACATAAGATCAACTACCTGAGGAAATTCCAATAGTAATTCAACTCCTCCTTTCTATCTATTTAAGTAGACTGGAACGAAAGTGAGACAAGGTTTGTTCTGGCGACGACTTATGCACTCACTCCTCATCACCTTCAGATTTCAGATTAATGTAGGAAAGATTTGATTTTGTGAATACTGTCAAGATTCTCTGTCTCCACCTTAAAATATTCATTCAATGTTATTACAGATCACATTACAAAAAAAGAAAATGAACAAATAGAAGATAAACAGAATCCTCAAAAAGAAAATGTGAATTCCAGGCAAACAGTACACCGAGAAGACATTGTTTATCTGAGATGTATAATCAGCTCATTCTCACCACACATTTCCAACAATCTGATCATACATACCTACATAGAAGGCGACACAACATAGAGAATTATATTTTTGTAACGATATAGGTGAAAATGTGTACAGGTCATGAGCATAGAAAAGAGGTAAGAAAAAGAGGGACATGGAAATAATGTAAAATGCCCCCTGGTTCTAAAATTAAATTACCAAGGCAGGGTCAATATAATGACAAATAATTTTTGAGTGTATAAAACAGGTTTAAGCCTTTTTATAACTTCAACCAAGTTAAAAATATATGACTCAAGCCTGTTTTCTATACTGTTTTAAAGGCACCATTGAAATCAACTTTGAGACTCGTCTCTATGATGTGCTTTGCAATGTAAATTGTTAAACACACTGAGATGTGACATTATCCTCCAGATGTTTTGGAGGTGTACAGTATGACATAAATTACATCTTCTTTATGGAAACGCATTTGGTTACATAATAAATTCTATTAATTGACGCTTTCAGTTTCTGTTTCGTGATCAGACTTTGATGATCACCGTTGAACGATAAAGACACATAAATGCCCTTTTTGAGAAATGATCGGAATGATGGAACCCTTTGTTTGAAACTATTTTAATGTTTAATGTATTTCAGGGGGATAGTTATTATCTAATAATATTTTAATGAGGTTTTGTATTTCATCTTCAATGGTATCTTCTATATATGTTGAATGCGTCTGCACAAGCGCTTAACGGATGCCTATTTATACTGGAGTGGACAGAAACTATGGTAATTTAGATAATATCCTGTCCCATTTTAAAGACCCCTTTTCTCGTCTAGTTATAAGTACATCTAAAAGTGGCGAACAGTTAATTATATATATATATAAGTTTTGTAAGGATTTGGATTAGTTTCAATGTAGATTTTATCACGAGCCAACATCAGTATGAGATAAGTGAAAACTAGGTTTTACTGGACATTCGTTTAGCTACAGTTTCGGAACTCTTCAGAAGCGCTCACCCACGATGCCACCATGATCTGAACCCGAGACTTTCAGGTTACGAGACGAAGTCAGTTGCCCTAAAGGAATTCCCATGACCACATGGTCCATCTGGAGTTAATGCTTACTCTCAGATATAAATTTAACATAACTAGTACGTAAGAGAAGAAAGTGTAGAAGTTGGTAATAATAGGAAAACGTGAAGAGATACAAAAAAATGATTGAAATTTAATATTGTTATCTACAGCACTGGTAGTATTAACTGTGTATAAATCTGTATCAGTTGTAGTCATTCATGACACGTTTCATATTGAATTTACTTCGAGCATGTCTGCCTGTCTATCTCTCTATCCATCCATCCATCCATCCATGCATCCATCTACCCATCTACTCATCTAATTGAGATTTGTATAGAAATATGAGGTCAAATATATATATATATATATATATATATATATATATATATATATATATTATATAATTCCCATATAATGTGATACGGACAAAGAATATGCTTTCCAAGAAATCATCCCCATTTTCAAGTGTTAATTTGCAGAGATTTAACTGATTTCAAGATTGTTAATGAAATCATTTCAGCTACTACTGAAAACCAGCAGTGAGTACTGGACAGCTATTTTGTCCTTCTTTGGGACTGCTCAACAGTATGTATTCATCATTACGCTCACTGGGGATTGAACCCAAGACCTTCAGGTTACATGCACCTTGTTGGCCATTGGGGTGGGATCCGGTGACTAGCCCACGAATCCCAACTTCTGTCAATTTGCGAAATATTGCGCAACCACTAGCCAATGATACAGTCAAGTATTTGTCATCATATTCAACATAATGAATCCTGTTGGTCGTGACTTCTTACTAGAACTTCAGGCAACAGCATCCTGTAGTCAACCATTAAAGGACACTAGGTAAATTTTGAAGTGTTGGTTTGCATGGATTTAAATGACTTTAAAATTGTAACCTGAAGGTCCTCGGTTTGATCATTACTCGTGGTGTGGCAGGTGAGTACTGATGAAGAGTTCCAAAATAGAAAGAAACAGCTATCCATTACTACCTGGTGGTTTCCAATGCTTCTCTAACTCGGGTCAACTCATAATGAATCTTGATTTCCTCTTCTGATAATTCAGATATTAAATGTGAATTTAGTTTCATAATAGAACAATACGTAACTGAGTATTACTTATTCACTGATTCCAGTTCAAGTGCAATTTCCTGCTGTTAGTCAATATTAAGGTGCTCAAATTACTTTCTCAGTTTTATTAACATACCATCATGTTATTTGTCATCATTTTAGTCGCACCAACAACAACGAGAGTTTCACAGTAAAAGTATCTCGTCTCCAGTGTTAACTGGTGTAACATAGTGAGGTTAGGCGTAGATTGTTGAATAAGAAAGGAAAGTTTGTCAATGTGGTCGTGGAACAACATCGATTGAGATGACTGCAGGTAAACGACATGTTGTTAGGCTATGGGAATACATTAGAATAAATGCATCCAAATAGTATTTCACTTATATTCTTATGACTTTTGAATGAATTAGCAACATGCTGTTTACTTTCACTCCATGGAGATGGCTGGGACACATGTTACTCATACCAAGTTATCGCCTTTCTTGACGAGCAGTGTCAGCTGAGATAGGATTAGGTTGGAAAGGGGTTCAGGGTAGTCAGGTCATAACCTTGCATCAACCTAAAAAATCGTTGAGTGCTGGTTTAAGCCAGCCAAGTAGGGAGGTTTAGGCTGCCTGATTGAGATTCTCGGGATGCTGAGAACCAGTGGCTTCAAACTATGTATCGAAATTCTTTTCAATGTCACAGACGCGCTCACTCTTTGTAATCTCTAAAATCCACTAAATCCTCTTTCTCCCTAGATTTCTACTCCCTATAGTTTTTGTGAATTCCTTTTTCCTCCTTTCTCTCCACCCTTGTATGCTACATGGAATGTGGCAGCTTGCACTGATGCATTTCCGCGCAAAGGTTTTCACTAAAACTCAGCCATTTAAAGCATCCATTATTATTTCAGAGTACTAACACTCCTAGACGCATGAAACATTCAGTCTTACCTACCGTCTTTGAAAAAATGCCAGCAGTTGGTTGACTAATGCATATACAGGCTTCATCTTTTCATCGATTAAACTATGTTATCACTGAAAATACTACTAGCACAATTACAACGTTAGCCAGAACAAAAAAGGTCCCTGCGCACGAAATAAGACAAAAGACGAACTGCTGGTGAGAGCTTTCTACTGCCTCAGGTAACACTTCAAACTAGTAAATAAATACATCATCTAATATATATTTGATTGGTTACAGGATCGGTCACAAGCTGACATGAGTTGGAGAGCCATCAGGAAACCAGGGAGTATTTGACAGTTATTCCATCCTAGTGTGGGATTCAAAAGCAATATACACCCACAACTTGTGGTCGAACTGAGGACAGTTTAGTTACGAGGCGACCATTCAGCCACTAGGATCAGATTCGATGGTCTATGAATACCAGCTCCTGCCAATTCGTTATATGTGTGGAGCAGTGGCTAGCCAATGTCACAAGCGAGTAATTGTCCTCTTACCTGACTTGGTGTAGCCGGTGGCTACGACTTCCTACTAGAACCACAGGTAACTTCCTGCATAGGACCAGTCGGTAGTGAGCATCACATTAATTACTGGAATAGTTACAGGATTGGTTATATATATATGCAAAGAGATTTAAAAAGCGAAATCAGCCAACAGACTAAACATGAGTCCTATATTACTTAGCGATTATTGTTTGAAAAAGACAAAACCAACTGATATAGCACTTCATATGACAACACGGAACTAAGGGGATAATAACAACAAGAGTAGGTGATATGTATCCACATGATGTGTGTTCTGTTTTTGACAGTCTGTTATGTTTTGCTATGTGTATATGGATCGATATTCCATTATAACGCACAAAATGCTATGTCTGTCCATTAACAAAATAAACAATATATGACCTTTTTATCACATGACATTACAACCAATCGTGTTGAGACTGTCTATTTATTGGATCATGTGTATTAGCCATTTTCATATATGCTCTTGCTTTCTATACTTGTTTAGACTTGTTCCCACGTTTCGTAAACTTCGTACCATTTCACTCACACTCTTGTGTGACATTTAGTTTCCTTGTCTGGAAAATACAAGTATCATCGTAAACCTGGTGGTCTTCTGATTCCCCTCTTTCCGCGTCAGGACTATTAACTACTCGACGAGTACATAACATAATTGGCGACGGGGAAAACCCTAATAACTCACTCAGCAGCAGTACATAACAGTAGGGTAATATAAAAAAATATACAAAAGAAAGAAAACAGGAAGTGTATAATGGAAATAATAATAGTGACGAAAGAACAAAGTATAATCTTCAATTGTAAAAACAAACAAATTAGATTTGATTGCCTTAATTTTACTTACTAATCCATATAACCATTCAAATGTTGCTATTATTAGGAAAACTAATTGGTTAACATATATATATATTAAAAGTTCTTACAAAATACATATTTTTTCCTTTTTTAAACTTAATTGCATCTTGTTGCTCTGTTTGAATTGTTTCTTATCCTCTTTTCTCTTATAGAATTGTATAACTGTGATAAAAATATTCTTATTCTTATAAACAATGCTGACAGCTTGTGTACATGGTTAAAACAATTAGACAAATGGGTTTGTTCAACATTAAATACCTTAAAAACTAATAGAATCGGTTTGAAATCGACAAAATCAGCCCTATTTGCCGCCTCTCATGTTTTAAATAATAAAAATGAAGAGGCTAAGGAAGAAGCTGGACATCAGAATACGAAGCAATTTTCACGTCTATCAACCTCTAATCTATCTCTACCGACTATGAGTAACAGTCAGTTTAAGAAGAAGTATATGACATTGTCAAATGGGATAGATTACCAACTAAGAAGAGGTGAAGAAGTTGACAATGTTAATGAGAAGGATAAAAAAATACAGAGAAGAAAAGAAATAACACGACGCATGCTAACAAGAAATACGACTGTCAGTGGTGAAGAAACCAGTCATCATCTTATCATCAAATTCATTGAAAATCTTAAAGAAGATATATCAAAATTGTGGTTAACATTAAAACGTTTACATAAAGCTGGTTTAATTAGAGCCGAGGATGGATATAATGTGAGTTAACTTCCTTAAAAATTGAATCGTATCATTTAAACTAGGAACAGTTTCTTTACTTCTGTCTCAGGCTCTACAGATATAATTATTTCACTCGGTTACATGTGGAACAGAGGCTTCAACAGCATATCTTCATTTCGTCCTCTTCTCCGTAACCCTATTTACCTCTCTGCAGGACTATGCATAAGTGTTCATCGTTCTTCCCACACGTTCTTTTCCGTATCACTCTCATACTTGCGCCAAACTCATTGTTTGCCATTCGGGTTTCACTCGAAGGACTGGCACACGATATCCCTCAACAGTTTCATCAGATTGTGTCAGATCCATCTCCATTTTGTCCCTTATATTTGTTGGGTAATAGGCTTTTGGTTAATACTTCGGCACAGTCCGTTGTTGCTAATCCTCTCCGATGAGGTAGTATGGAGTGAAGGCAGCTATTGATAAAAATTTTCAGTAACCTTATGGAAATGCTTCTAGTTGTTCACTGAGTCTCTTAAGCACTGACTAACTTGACATTTGTATTAAAAATACAAATCATTTCGCCAGTGCTAAGTGCAGTAGATTTCCAAACTGATTTCAGAGTAATGGAAATCTTCCTTGATCTCTCGATTCTGCTCTTGACATGGTTATCCGTTCCAGGTGTAGCTGAAATGATGCTGCCCATCCGGGTAAGTGAAACGAATGATTTTCTTTAGATTCCTCTCATTGATCAAAAGAGGTACATACTATTCGTTAGAAATCTTCGAGTTTGTGTGACAGACATAAGTCGTCCGGGAAACCCAGATCATATAATGTTTCTTTGTTGGTCCAATGTATTTCTGTCTTCTCGCTTTCTGTGGTCTGCAGTTACTAAACCATGAGTACTATAACACACTAACCAGTAAAAACAAAATTATGCTTATATTAAGAAGAGCGATGCGTCGGACAAAATCACATCTGATTGAATTCACTGGTAAGATGATAGACAGTTAATTTTAACAGACAATTAAACGATGTTATATTCTACTGATACCACTCATATCAACCAGTGCTGCTTGCCAGTCAACTAGATAAATGTGATTTAAACAACATTGGATGGCGATTTAACTATTTATAAGCTGAATTCATCAACTATTTGCTAGATTTGACTCAGATCAGACGACCGAATCAGTTCAAGCCAACCAAACTCAAATGTCATTCTTTGGGTGTCCACAGCTTCAGAAATTCAAATGAAACATGAAGTGCCGAAATGTTGATCTGGTGTGCTGTATCAGCCGAGTGCCAACCCATGGCACTGGTAAACGGTTTCATTTTCCACCGAATACGTCAACTTGAAGTGACTATCTGCTTACTGATTTCCTAAAAATATGAACTATGATAGTTAGAAGCCCTGGTAACATTATCAACGTAAGCTATCAAATGTCAACCCTGAGTATATGCCAGCTTGTATACGGTATATTATTATTATTTCCTTTAATTCCCCGAGGAACATAGGGCTTCAGCTGCGCGTCTCCATTGCCTTCTGTATTCTGCCAACTTTTTCACTCAGCTCCAGGTCTGCCCACATGCTTTCATCTCCTCTTCACATGACCTCCTCCAAATCACCCTTGAACGACCAACTCTGCGCTTCCTTTTCGAGTTCCACTCGAGTAATGGCCTGTCGTGTGATTTCACTTGTTGGTTTCCTCAGAGTATGGCCAATCCATCTCCATTTCTTCCTGCCTATTTGTTTCACAATCGGTTCCTGCTGGGTTGGTTCGCTCATTGCCAGAGATCCCTGTTGGTGATCCTTACTGGTCGGCCATCTGATCTTGAGTGGTGTTGAGCGAAGACAACTGTTAATGAAGGTCTGAAGTTTGTTTGAGATGCTCTTTATGACGCGCAGTGCAAGTCTCTGATCCGTACATTAAGTAGCACTGACTTCACATTGGAGTTGAAAATCCAGATGTTATTTTTGATGCTGAGTGATGTTGACCTCCACACAGACTTAAGGGAAATGAAAGCCTGTTTTGCTTTTCCGATTCTGGCTTTGATATGCTCGTCAGTTCCGTTCGCCTGTAGTTGAAACGATGCTTCCCAAGTAGGTGAGTGAAGGAGGTTGTTTCTTTCAGGTTCCTCCCATTTATGCTGGCTGATTGTTGTCTGTTGTTGTTGTTGTTGCTGTTGTCCAGGAATCTTCATCACCTCTGTTTTCTCTATGTTCACTTGAAGTCCTGTCTTTGATGCTTCTTCTGCCAGTTTGTTGCTTTTCACTTGCATAAATTCCAGTTTGTGGGAATTCAGACATATATCATCGCGGGCGAAGTCCAGATCCTCCAAGTTTTTATGTGAGTCCATTTTATGCCTGTTTCCTCGCTGCCCACTGTCAGTCGCCTTATCCAGTCTACCACCCACAATCAGGAAAATCATTGGAGATAGTAGGCAGCCAGCTTGTCTTACTCCGGTCTTCACTTCGAAGGATTCCGTAAGTTTCCCGTTGTGGATTACTTGGCATACAGCATTGTCGTACAACTGTTGGATGAGATGTATAATTGTTGGTGGCACCGCGTAGTAGCGAAGTAGTTGCCAAATCACCTCTCGATCGACGCCATCTGTCGAAGGCCTTTTCGAAGTCGATGAAGTTGAGATAGAGAGGTGACTGCCATTCCAAGCTTTGCTCAATGATGATCCGTAGTGTGACGATTTGATCAATGCCTGATTTGTTCCTCCTGAATCCAGCTTGTTCCGGTCAGAGTTTCGCATCCAGGTTGGCTTGTTTGATTCTCTCCAGGATTATGCAGCTTAGTATTTTGCTTGGGATGGACAGGAGCATAATTCCACGTCAGTTTTTGCATTGACGTAAGTCTCCTTTCTTTGGTAGTTTGAAGAAGCATCGTTTCTTCCAATCCTCGAGTACTTTGCCGTCTTTCCACACCTTCTTCAGTAGTGGTGTCATCAACTCCGCTGTTGTCTCTGGGTTCATTTTGAATGCTTCTGCTGAGATTCTATCTGGTCCTGCTTCTTTTCCAAGTTTTAGCCTCTTGATTGCATTCTGGACTTATGGTTTCGTCAGGGGGTGTTATGTACTCGTCGAGTGGTTTACAGTCGTGACGCGGAAAGAGGAAAATTAGAAGACCACCTCGTGCTCGATGATACTTGTATTTTCCAATCAAGAAAATGTGTGACTGTCACACAGGTGTGAGAGTGAAAGGGTACGTAGAGTACGAAATGTGTGAACATGTGTATATAAAAGTGTACAAGGCAAAAGTATATGTGAAAATGACTAATACACATGAACCAATAAGACAGATATTAGTTTACCTTGGCATCATTGTATTCTGATTGGTTGTAATGTCATGTGATAAAAAGGTCATATATTGTTTATTTTGTTAATGGACAGACAGCATTTTGTGCGTTATACTGGAATATCGATCCATATACACTATAATAGAGGTTTTTGTATTTCCCAATGAATGAAAAAACAAAACGAGGTTGTTTTTACTGACGTTTCGCTATTTAATGCTAATAGCTTTCTCAAAGTATTATTATAGCAAAATATAACAGACTGTCAAAAACAGAACACACATCATGTGACCACATATCAGGGGTCAATTTTCACTGGTAGATCTGCTTTCACTGTTGGTTTCATTGGGCGCATTGTAGGTTGCGGACGATTTAGAAGTCTTTTGAAGTGTTCAGCCCAGTATCTCCTTTGCTCCACCTCTTTTGGTGATTGGCTTTCCATTTTCATCCTTCACTGGTTTAATTTGTGTCGAACTTCTCCCCGATAGGTGCCTCGTTGTTTGGTAGAGTAGGGCGAGGTCTCCTTTGCCTGCAGCTTGTTCCACTTCACTCGCCATGGCTTCATAATATTTTCTTTTGTCTTCCCTGGCATTCTTCTTTACTCTTTTGTTCAGCGTATTGTAGCTTGCATTCAAATCTTTTTTTTTATTGCTCGTCGGTGCACTGGATAATCTTTTGTTTCACCACCCTTCTCTCTTCTATTAGTTTCCAAGTGTCCATAGTGAGCCACTGTTTGTCCTGTCTCTTCTTTCTGCCCAGAACTCCCATGCAGGTTTGACTCCACACCGTTTTCAAGTTGTCCCAATGCTTTTCGACGCCGACCTCTTTGCTAGTGTTGATTTGTGTCTCGGCTTTTCCCCTTATGTTTGCAATGAAGATGTCCTTTGTAGCCTGGTCATTCAGTCTTGTGGTCTATCTGCAGCTCCTCTTTCTCTGAAAGCTTTTAATTTGATTTGGATTGTCCCTTGTACGAGATAGTGGTCTGAGCCAACGTCTGCTCCTCTTCTTACTTTTGTGTCCAGTAGGCTGCGCCCCCACTTCCTTGAGCAGCATTGAGATGAAGTCAATTTGTCTGTTGGTTCGCCCATCTTGTGACACCCATGTAGCTTTGTGGATATCTTTGTGCTTGTATACACTGCCACCAACCACTAGTTCATTGAAAGTGCAGAAGTTGGCGAAGAGTTCTCCATTTTCATTCATTTCTCCGAGAGCTTTTCTACCCATGATGAGTTCCCTTCTCGTGTTGTCTGGTCCCATTTTGGCATTCATCTCTTCCATATGTATTTTAATGTCACCAGCTGGAGTATTTTCCATTGTTGCCTGTAGTTGTCTGTAGAATTCTTTCTTTTCGAGGTCTGCGTTGTTTGTGGGTGCATAACATTGTATAATTGACACTTTCCTTCCTTTGGAGTTGAATCTGGCGGTCATTATCCTGGGCGAGATCACCTCCCATTGCATCAAGGCCTTCGTCGCCGTTGGTGACAGTATGATAGCCACGCCCTCGGTGTTCGTGTGGTTATCTTCTGAGGGACCAGAGTAGATCACTGATTCATCCGTTAAAAACTTGGTGAGTCCATTCCCGTTCCATCTACTTTCACATATTCCCAGTACTTGGATTCCATATCTTTCCATCTCGTTTGGAACCTGGGCAGCTTTGACAATCTCGTACATGGTGCAGACGTTCCATGTCCCCACACAGACTTTTTATTTTGGCGCAAGGAGATTCATCGTGCTGAAGTTTCTGTAGCAACTTTGTTTACAGAGTGGGGTTGCTAGCCTAACGCCTGAGAGAGGGATTGTTACATTAAGATAAAGTTTAGAGAGAAGCGACCTTGTGGGTTGCTCCCCTTAAAACCAGGAAAACAAGGAATAAAACAATCAGAACAACACCAGCAAGAGGAAAATAATTCACAACACGAAGGGCAACAACTGACAACAACAATAATAGTATCACAGTTAGGCACAGTTAACCAAAATGATACCAAAGTTATAGACTCACTGACTTGAGCCAACTTGGATATGTAAATCCATCAATATATACAATTATAGATATTAGTTACTGTTAGACAAGCACAAAGTGGCAAACAAATAATTATAGGTATTATATGTCAACAGATTATTATTATTATTGTTATACGGTGTCAATAAGTGCTACTTATTATCTTTGTAAGTTGTGAAGGTCTGTGTATAGATGATAAATGGAGGCATTAACTGAATGTATTATGACTTCACTCAGTTAGTTATCTAGTCAGAAATCGAGTGGTTTGAACTCATTCTGAGCTGAGTCAAACCGGACACACTGCAGATAAACTCAACTCCAAACCAACTGAATGCCTCTGTGCCGTGTTTAGATAGCTTCAATCTGGCTAGTAAGCACTGCTGAATTATAAGTGACATTCAACTATTCATATCTGTCAATCAATATTATATAGTATCATGCATTTTTGCTTAGTTTCTTGATTACAGTTTATGATATCAATGAGATCATATACTGTGATCTGAATAATTAGTTTCCAGAGGAAACTATGGAGAGATTAAAATGCATGGAAAATATGCAGACATTAATGGATGTCAGTCAAAGGGTTTCTTATTGTGTGTTTTTGAAATTTGTTAAATAGATTTCACTAGGTGAATTATTACCAGTGGAATGAGAGGTAATACCATAGAAGGCTAGACACGGAAGCCAAGGTATATTTTCCACTAATCAAACCACTGTTTATGAATATACAGTTTATATTCGTTGACCAATCACTGAGCGTGTGATTTTGGTTTAAATCAAACGACATGAAATAGAATGTTCAAACAGATATATCGTATTCTGTCGCTAACGCAGTATTGAACTGTGACCCCGAGAAGATAAGTAATGTAGACAAAAGCAATTGCACTGCATGCATTAACACACAACCAGGGTGGGAGAGGGTTAAGATTCTTAGAAGTAATCTGTATAGGTGGAGAGAGAGAGAGATTGATTACTGAATCCTGGTTCATTGAGTCTACACCCAACACATGCAACAGAAATGCTTCAACGCAAATAGCAGAAATATAGAAGATATTATTACTGCCAGCCATATCAAAAGAGGATAATGAATAATCTCAAAATTCTATTTCAATTCAAGCACATCACAACATGGTGACAAGTTACTTATTATGACTATAAAAAGACTCGTCTTATTTCCCATCTGATTGTAATTGATCAATAACACTCATATTATTATTTCTGAATGTACATTATCGCATATTGATTTTTATTCACATATCTAGTCAATTCCACACATGTATATAAATGAAAGGAAAAAAGTTGTGTGAGTAACTTGATATGATTATGAGCAATGATTTATGCTCGAAACGTCATCAGTTAATATTACTGTGTAACACTGTGACTTATTAAAATAAAATCTTATCTATAATGCAGTCATACTCTACGACAGTGCCCAAGTTTTATACTTATACCAAGAATATGCGAGAATCATATTCTGTTAGATCATATTGCCAGTATCACATCATCACAATACGAACAGAATGAACTAATAGGATAAGCCTAGGCTAAATTCAAAGGATGACATTAATAATAATAATAATAATGTAAAGCAGGTGAAAAGCAGTTGTAAGGACTGAGAGAAGATGGTTGAAGTATGAAGAGACATAGTAAAACACAAAGACTTTAGATTAGCAAATAGCTGATGACCCTATAGTAGGCTGAGGTAGACAAAGAGAATAATACACTTTTCTTCCCATGTTTTTATTGATTTCTACATCTTCGAAAAATTGATCTGAGATGTAAGAGCCTACGTTGAGATGGATTGTTAGCCACTCGATATATGACAGTCAGTGCCTATTCTCTTTTGAAGTGACTTTTGCTTTACATCAGACTGCTTAGAATGGAACTGTTTATTCATCTGGTGACTCTTTTCCTTAGCCAAACTGACACACGTTCACCAATATATAAGGACAAATTCTTTTGAGTACAGCCTATGTAACCAACTCAGCAAGGGTATTTATATTTACATACACACATTTCCTAGCTACCTCAATCAATAAAAATTCTTGCCTCATCATTCGACTTTCCCTTCTAATCTAACATTATATACGCCTAACTGTACTATTATTTGCCATGTTTTTTCACTTAAATCGAGCGAATGAGTCAGGGTACGTTTGATAAACCCTGTCACAATTTCTATTTTCAGTAACTATGTCTGATAACTGTAAAGAAAAACAAAGCGAAATGCTATCCATTGAGTTAGTGTAATGATAACAATGGAAACAATGTGCAGTTCATATACACTGTCTAATGAGTTTATAGGCAATTAAAACTGAATGGTTAACAAGCTCACTTTGCAACCTAAAGCATCTGAGTCCAATTCCAGTTGGGTACGGTCATGGTCAATCCTGGAGTATTATCTTAGTCAGAGTTATGTTTTTAATTGTTTCCAAGCCTTGAGACTAAAGCTGAACCATTCACATTGTGTCTTCTCACCGTTAGTTGACGTTCATAGATCTTTTCTTTTTTTCATAAATAGTAATTTCCAGTAAGAAAAACACATGATGAAAATAAAAAGAAGGAAAGAAAGGGTTTCTCATAGTTTAAGGAGGCAAAAATGACACATCTGTAAATACTGAGTCTGAAGAATGAAAGTTAAAATCTCTGAACTACTGGTCTTCTGTCTATTAATGTTCGAATGGGAATTATTCATGAATTAAAAAAATTTTTGTCAAGTAAACAGGAAAATTTGTCTGACCTTAAAAGGATTAAAGGGGGGGGGGAGAGAGAAAGAGACAGATCAGAAAAACAGATAAAAAAAAGTTGATAAAATCCTTCTATTATGTCATTTTCATCATCTCTTTTTCTCATTCTTCGCTTTCTGAGGGAGAAATTAAGCTTCTGTCTTCAAGCTTTGAAGTTTCGGTATCAGTGGTAGTGCTAATCTTACTCCCAGACCTCCTTCTTCTAGGGGTTACGAACTATTACTACTACTACTACTTGGAGTTTCAGATCACGTCAGCCGGGAATCGAACTCCAGACGACGTGGGTGGTTGATTAGCATTCAATCATTGAATTATTGATGCAGAGGTGACTAGTACACCTCCCTAAATTGCAGTACTCAGTATTACTCAGGACCTTCAGGTCACTATAGGAGTCTGTTGACCGTTCAACCACTGTGACTTTTACCTTCATCATTCAACCTATAGTTTGTCTTTTGAATACTTTGTCTCTTTTCCTTTTCCAGACACTTATTATATCATTGGCTCGTGATATATGTCACTTGAATAGGCCATGTCAGATGGAGGAATGGTTACACTTAAAAGAAAGACTAAATCAAGTATTGAAACAATTGAATTCAGAGTTACACAGTGTAGATCAACAGGCTACAATATATGCTGCACATGCCCTCCTCTGTCTTACACCGAATAATATGAAGAATATAGAGAATAATAAAATGTAAGTTTGGTGAATAATTACATTTTTCTAGGTGGTATGTGAGCGACGAAATGTAAGATTGCATTTGTGTTTAATATTAGCATCAATATGATTACTTCTATGCTACAGTGCACACTGTTACTCTCGAAACAAACAAGACTGATTAAAACAGACAAAATGTTTGTTATTATTATATTTCCAGGACAGGAGAAGGAGGATTTTTATAGACGGCTACAAACAGTAATGGACAACATCCCGAAAAGAGATATAAAAATCCTTATGAACGATATGAATGCCAAACTGGAAGCAGATAATAGAGGAAGAGATCTCATCACGGGTCAATAGGCTCTCGGTAAAAAGAAATAAGAACGGAGAATTATTCTCAGACTTCTGCACTTTTAATGATTTCGTAATCGGAAGCAGCGTATACAAGCACAAACATATACACAAGGCAACATGGATTTCGCCTGATAAACACACCACGAGCCAGATAGCTTTCATCTCAATTTCAAAGAAGTGGAGACGCAGCTAGCCTGCTGGATACAAAGTCAAGAAGGGGAGCAGATGTGGGCCCAGATCATCATCTAGTTCGAGAAACCTTCAAGATGAAGCTGAAATCATTCAGAACAACGAGAGGCAGACCTCAATTCAAGTTCAACACTCAGAAACTGAAAGACTAAACTATAAAGGACACCTTCATTGCAGCCATAAGAACAAAGTTGGAGACATTAGGTGAAATCACTGAGGAAACCTGCGTGAAAGAACATAAGAACTCTCTGAAGGTAATGCTCAAGGGAACGTGTACAACTGTCCTAGGAAGAAAAGGAATGGCTCCCTATGGATACCTGACAGCTAATAGAAGAGAGAAGAAAGGTGGAAGAGAAGATGACTCAATGCAAAGATGGACAACAGAAGGAGAAGCTGAGTTCAATGTACATTGCACTGAATAAAGAAGTGAAGAAGAGCGCTTGAAGATAGAGAAGACACACTGGAAACTGAAACAGAACAGGCCGTGGATAAAAGAGACCTCAGAACATTATGCCAGATAACCAGATCTCTATCCGAAAAGAAATTAACACCGTCAAAACCCATGAAAGATGTTAAGGGAACCTGATTACTAACGAGAAGAGACAGATAAAACAATGGCTGATCACTTAGAAGGACGCTTGAATCGACCGTTTACTTGAAGTCTCTTTGCGGTGAAGTGAATATCTTGCGTGGAATTACTGTAAGAACTTTGTATTGTATGTAAACACATTTTCTAGAATAAAGCTGATCTTATCATTTCAATTTTTCAGTCAGAGAACTAGTGTAAACCAGAAAGTACTGGGCGGTTATTTCGTTCCACTTAGGGGCTTTCTAGCAGCACGCACCCATCATCCCACCTCTAAGCATCGAAGTCAGAATCTTCAGGTTACAAAGCAAGCCAACTGACCATTCAGCTGCTGCAATCTAGTCCAATGTCCCACATATCTTCAAATCAATCAAATCCCTGCCAACTAACACCTGGAAACTAATCTATGAGTTGACTACAGGATAAAGTTAACTGGAAGTCTTGTGGGAAGTCACAACCATCAAGGCCAAGTTCAGGTTTCATCTTTTGGATACGTGCTGTTAAAGAGCTGGAAACAAAGACGAAATAGCTTTCCAGTACTCCATGGTTTTCAGAAGTTTTGTAACCGCACTCAGTTTGTGATGAGTCTTGAAATTAATCAAATTCCTGCAGGCAAACACCTGAAAATTATAATTATAATTATCAGAAAGATGGTTACTGAACAAAGAATACTCTTTTTGATTACTTCATCACTAGGTCCTACAGTGAATCAATTAGTGTTAACAACATTAATGCTCTTTAAATAACATCGAATCAATAATATCAATAGATTACAGTTCAATAGCGTCAACATAACAATAAACTGAATGTCAGAAAAAATTAGGAAAGATAGTAATACAAATTCATGAAATTATAGTCTCTACTGAATACCAGGGCAGTAGTATTGCCTGGACTTGCTTCTTCTGCAAACAAATCACTGGTTGTTTCACGTGAATAGCGATAGCCTCTTCTGTTCAGAGCATGTGGCACCTCGATGTTTTCGGTAATTAATTCGGTAGCCGGTAGATGATAGAGAAGGATTCGTGAAGAAAATAAAAGACGAATTCACCGAAGAAAATTTCCTTTATGGACTAAATCATCTTCAGAGGCTGGAAAGTCGTATTTATACTTAACAAAATTATATAAAAGGTCTATTATTGAGTAATAGGGGGTGACAAAATTGGTATAATTACTCGGAAGTGGCATTAGAAGTGAAAATTAAAAGTTGTAAATTACGTGGTACTCAATGGCACGAATACAGAAATTTGATAAGATTAAAATTGTTATTGAGTGAGAAAAAAGGTGATAGTTGAGTGTCAATGTAACAAGTATGAAAATGTACAAAAAGAATATATGAGAGTGATAATAGTGAATTACATATTAAAGTAAAAGCAAACTAAAAGTAAAAGAAAAAAGGAAAGGAAAATTCAAAATCTCTTTTACGGGGAATGACTAGTGAAGAGGTTAAGATTAAGGTAGAATGACACTGGACAAACGTTTTCTGTATACATAAAACAATGGCTGATCACTTCGAAGGACGCTTGAATCGACCGTCGCATCATCCTGGAGAGAACAAAATTTGTACTAAATGCTGGACTCTGCCTTCCGGAACAAGCTGACATCGGAAAACGGAAATCATTTGCTGATCAAATTGCAACTCTGAACATCGAACAAAGCATAGAATGGCAGTCAAACTTCTACCTCAACTTTAACAACTTTGGAAAGGCCTTCTACAGTGTTGACCCTGAAACAATTTAGAAACTACTTTAACACGAAGGTGTGAAGTGCCCAAATCTTTATTAACACCATTCAACAGCTGGCTGCATGACCATGCCATGAGCCAGGTGTTGCTTAGTGGAAAACTCAGAGAGGCGTTTGAATTGAAGATGGAAGTGAGACAAGACTACCTGCCTATTATCCCCGATGGTAATCTCAATTGTGGTGAACTAGATTGTGCGTCAGACTGTGGGAAGCGAAGAGACAGGAATACGTTGGACCGACAAGAAGACTCTAGAAGATCTGGATTTTACAGATGATTTATGTCTACTGTCATACAAACTCGAAGACTTACAGGCGAAAACCAACAAGCTGAGAGAAGAAGTACACGGAGAAGGCGAAACTCCATGTGAACATGGAGAAGACGGAGGTGATGAAGATAACCAAACAAATGCTGTAACAACCAGCACCGATCAACATCGAAGGGAGAGATTTGACAGAGTTTACTTCCTTCACTTATGTAGGAAGCATCGTTTCAACCACATACAATCAGACAGCAGGGATGAAAATATCAACACCAGCTAGAATCAGAAAGGCGAGATTAGCCTTCATCAACGTGAAACCAGTTTCGAAATCTTTTAAACTCAGCCGGCATCAATAATAAGATTCGGATATTTTTAACACAAATGTGAAGTCAGTCGGTTCTTGTATACTGATCAGAAACTTGACCTGCTTGTTACGAAAAGGATTTCCGATAAGGTAGAGACTTTTACCAATATCTGCCTTCTACTGCTCCATACTGAAGATCAAATGGCCAGCTGGCCAGAATCCCTGGTGCTTGATGTGACCTGTAAATCTCACCAGCGTATGTCCAATCCATCCAATGTTAAGGAACACAGAATACAGAGAACATTACCAAAGTGCTAAGGCTTGTGCTGAATTCCTTATCTGTATTCTCCATTAGGAATGTGTTTGCCTTTCGTTACATATTGCTTAATAGATTTCTCCCAGCATGGTGACGCTTTTATCAAGTTTCTTCTTCAGTGGCCTTCCTATTATCATATTTTTCTACAGATGTTACTCTATATGCCGATTATATCACAACTCGATTTATAAAAGTATCAGCCATTGAGACTACTGACTTCATATATATATATATATATATATATATATATAATTAAAATAATATAACTATTCTAACGATATGATATGAGGGAACTGTTACGTTAATGTATTCAGTGGTGTTCACTTTCAGTTAGATGATCCCTTACTCCATCGATCAAGTTGATGGTATCTCAATATAGATATATTTTGTTAAGTGAATATTGGAAAGCCTAGAAATTGTTACACTGACACAGTTAATGCAAGAGACAGAATTGTACTTCTAAATATTGTTGATAACATGATTATCGTTATCTGTGAAATTAAATCAAAAGCTGGAAATATATTGACGAAATTCCGTTAAGCTTAACTTCACAATAGAACATTAAGAAAATGATACTATTAGATTCCTAGACGTTTTTCTAGTGAAATAGACTGATATTAAAGTAGAAAGCCTTCATAGATAGGAAAATATAATACGCTTTAAGAACTCTGTTCCTGCTAACCATAAAATCAGCAACATGAAATGAGAACATTGTTCAATAGACTACGGAAAATTTATTGTAATAGTACAAGTGCATAAGAAATGAAGGTTTACCAAGCTATCTAGATATGAGGACATTGTGTTTAACTACGACAGTAGATAGGAATGCATAATATATATTGTTTATCTAAATTGAAAATTCTAAAATCAATTAATCAATTAATTAAATAAATCTTGACAGACATTGTTTTCGCCGACCATGCACATGTTCCGGGGTTCGATCTCCGGCCGATGCACACCTGATAGCAATAGTCAACCTGCTAAATTTGGGCTACTGATATCACATGCTGAAAATTCCATACTTGTACCAAAATACGGTGTGGAATCAAGCTGTAATCAAAATAAAATAAATAAATGTTCACGTAGGTTTATCTGCAAGTTCCCACCGGGAAAATATTTTCTTACTGGTTATGAAATGTGGTTTCAAAAAGTAGAAAATGATGAGCTGTACTGAAACAAGTTAAAACCGTTATTATTATTGTAAGATCAATTCTATTCCCATCCTTGAATCAAGGCAACCTGTCCCGGATCAGCCTAGCGTTGTTGCAACCCAATTATCTATGCCTAACGTGTCTATCCCCTCTTGTTTAATGAACTGTGTATATGTGTTTTTACCTCGATCCGTTTAGTCAGACAGTTGAACTCATGGCCCAATCAGAGTATTTTGTGAACTGTTAATTTTGCTGACCCATGTCTAACTTTGTACTATTCTGTCGAGTTTATCTTATTTATTGATTTTCATCTGTATTTTCCTACCTGGTTAAGTAGCCAATTAAATTCTATCTTTGTGCCTATGCTCGGTCTATCTCTCTTAAACGCTCTCTGTTTTATGCCATACCTTACTTGGGTTCATTCTTCTACTGACTGCTTACCTGAACGGTCGTGTCTGGTTCCGGCTAGTTCGCAATTTTGGTTTTAACGTTATTCCGCTCTGATAGCGGTACCTTGCTTTCTGTTAAGCATTGTGCTTTGTACTCTTGAAACCGTTAAGGTTTGTTGTATATATAATTATTGATTTGTTTATTAATAGTACCGTAGAAACAGTGACCGGCTTCTTGTTTGTTCTGGACCGGGATAGCCTTTATCTACACGTGACTTAATTTCAAGCGATATTGCGCTTACAGTACTTAACGGAGTACGTAACGTAGTACTTGACGCTAAACGGATCGAGACTTTACTGAATTGGTCAGTACTTCACATCAAACAGAAAAGAACGTACTGAACTGGTCAGTACTTAACGTTACAGAGGATACCGTACTGAACTGATCAGTACTTAACGAAAGAGGAATTGTCATTGAAGAAAATCCCGTACTGAACTGGTCAGTACTTAACGGAGTACTTAACGTTAAAGAGGAGATCGTACTGAACTGGTCAGTACTTAACGCTAAACGGATCGAGACCGTACTGAATTGGTCAGTACTCAACGTCAAACAGGAAAGACCGTACTGAACTGGTCAGTACTGAACGTTCGTCCAGAAGAAACTGTGGTGAATTGGCAGCACGCAACGTTGTTGAAAATACATTTTCTTTGGAACAATGCAAACCAGATCAGGGAAGCAAATTTCGGAGCAGCAGTCGGAGAGTCGGCAAGCCCCCGTTCGTATAAATGATCATGTTGGTAATCTTTCGTGCCCCGGCTCTCATGTCAGTAGTTCGAAATTATCATTATCGCGAGTAACTAGTGCTAAGTCGTCGCTACTAAAGGCGCAGCTAAAAGAGAAACAGCTTCGACAGGAGTTAGAGTTAGAGAAGATAAAGTTGCTAAAGGCTAGACATGATGTCGAAATGGCCGAGCTGCATGTGAAGTTAGCCGAGGACGACGAACGGAACACTCATGGAAATACGAAAAGAGGCACTGTCAATTACGCTCGAATCAGCGAAGACAGTATCAAAGACGACATCAGAAGTCTACATGAAGCTGAGCTTAAGGATACTGAAGAAAACGAAGACTCATTTTCTATTGAAGATCGTAAGGCAATCGAGTTTGTTACTCAAAGCACCGTCTTAGAAAAGGCGCATTACATTATTCCCTTGCCATGGGAAGATCCAACAAAGGTAACAGACAATAATTATGTAGTCGTCATAAAGCCGTTACTCAATCTGAAACAGAGGTTATCGTGTGACAAGAACCTTTTAGCACGATATGTGGATGGGATAAATACGATGTCAAAAAATGGTTATGCCCTTCCGGTACCCCCAGAGCAGCTAGCAGCGAACTATCGTTCGAGGTGGTATCTTCCACATCATCCCGTTATGAAGCCGAAAAAGCCAGATAAACTGAGATTAGTTATAGATTGCGCCGCAAACTTTAGAGGTTATTCTTTGAACGATAAGCTATATCAAGGACCTGATACGATTGCCGAGCTTGTTGGTGCTCTGTTGCGCTTTCGAGAAAAGCCTATTGGTGTAGTCGCGGACATAGCTGATATGTTTATGCAAGTGAAGGTGCCAGTAGACGATCGAGGAGCATTACGATTTCTGTGGTGGCAAGATGGTTGGCTAGGCGTTGGCCGCGAGGAGTTATTGCGGAATGCGAGCAATCCGCGGACGAACTTGTCAGAACGGTTAAAATAAGAACGAGAAACGGCGAGGTGAAGCGCGATATACGTAAGATATGTCTACTAGAGGGATGTCATTAGTAAGAGAGCCGGGCACGAGGGTTATTCTGTATAACATGATTCATAAAATCCTAGTCGGATTTTGGGGGCCGGTGTAAGATCAATTCTATTCCCATCCTTGAATCAAGGCAACCTGTCCCGGATCAGCCTAGCGTTGTTGCAACCCAATTATCCATGCCTAACGTGTCTATCCCCTCTTGTTTAATGAACTGTGTATATGTGTTTTTACCTCGATCCGTTTAGTCAGACAGTTGAACTCATGGCCCAATCAGAGTATTTTGTGAACTGTTAATTTTGCTGACCCATGTCTAACTTTGTACTATTCTGTCGAGTTTATCTTATTTATTGATTTTCATCTGTATTTTCCTACCTGGTTAAGTAGCCAATTAAATTCTATCTTTGTGCCTATGCTCGGTCTATCTCTCTTAAACGCTCTCTGTTTTATGCCATACCTTACTTGGGTTCATTCTTCTACTGACTGCTTACCTGAACGGTCGTGTCTGGTTCCGGCTAGTTCGCAATTTTGGTTTTAACGTTATTCCGCTCTGATAGCGGTACCTTGCTTTCTGTTAAGCATTGTGCTTTGTACTCTTGAAACCGTTAAGGTTTGTTGTATATATAATTATTGATTTGTTTATTAATAGTACCGTAGAAACAGTGACCGGCTTCTTGTTTGTTCTGGACCGGGATAGCCTTTATCTACGCGTGACTTAATTTCAAGCGATATTGCGCTTACAATTATTATTATTATCATTATTATTATTATATGGATCTCGTCACGTACTAACATCAGCAAGAGAATCATTGGAAATTAAGGAGCACCGAATAACTGTTTCCTCTTAGATTGGGACTTTTCGGTGGTTTGCATGCACAGCCCCACCAGGAATCGGACGCAGGATCTTCGCGTTATGAGACCAAGCTCGTTAGCCATGCAGTCTTTTTGGGCTGGAATTCTGAGACTTTTGTATTCGAACTTCTGTTAGTTCGTGTGATATATAGCTCCTGGAACCAACTAATGTCATCGATGAGCTTGTCCTAGTAACCTGAAGGTCCTGGGTTTGATTCCTAGTGATGTAGTAAGCGAAGAGTCCCGAACTAGGGTGGAAAACCTGTCCAATAATCCTTGATTTCAAATGACTTTTTAAGTGATGTCGGTTCGTGACACTATCTATATTAAAATTAGCATAGATCGCTACAGAAACTCATAATGTTTATTATCATTTTATTTCAAATCTGTTGTGAAATATGACTGGAAACAGTTGAATGCAAGGAAACTGTATATTATTTTTGTTGACTTCAGTAGTAGCAACGGTTTGTATAATTTCATCGTGATTTGAATGCTTACAAGCGAGTCTTATTTCTTAATCCATGCATGTATGAATATGCTTGTGTGTGTGTGTGAAATGACAAAGTATACAATTGTCCGTCTTCTACTCCTTTTTCTCTCTTTAATCTTACCAATCTATCTACAATCGATTGCTTTCAAAGTGGTTTTCCTACGCATGATAGAAGAAGCTGACTTGTATGGAACATTCAAGTGTTGGTCTGCAGCGATTTGACTGATTTCAATTTAGACCACAATCTGGACAGCTATTTTCCTCTAGTTTGTAATAATAACGATAATAATTATTATTATTATCACCAAAATGTCTGCTTTGTCTTTATATAACTTTAGTATTAAACTAAGAAAAATCTGTAAATCACTGTGAGAATATTTTCATTTGCTTATTCATTTAAATGATATTTTTTTATCATATTATAAACCAAGATGTGTCATTTGGATTGAGTGATAGATGCTAGTTGCTTATCACTGCTGGCAGACTGTTGCACTTACGAAACGATGTTAATGAACAAATGTTATGTGATAAAGGAAAATAACCAATTTGCAGCTTACAAGTGTTAGTTCCCAGGGTTCCGACTGACTTGAATCACAGATCCCGGTGACCGAAGGGTTAACCAGCTCATCATTTAATCCTAACATTCTGGGTCATAGGTGAACACTGTTAATTAGCCCTGAGTTATCAGGAAGCTCTTTTCCAGTTCACCTTAGTTCTCAGTGGTTCCTCAAATAATATCGGTCCTTTATAAGATAAACCTTAGAGTTTATAATTTTTTGCAAAATTCTCATTACCTATCCAGTTACATATCGAAGTTATTTATTGATATACAGTGATACAGAAGATTTTATACACAAGTGAAGTTTTGAACACAATTTGTTACTGCAAATAATCATATCAGAGCATCCATATAACTTTCAAACTTCCAATATTCCTTTTCCTTTGATTTTATTGGTAGTAATGCTCTCAGTATATCTGCCACTAGTGTCTCGTCGTTCCTATTGCACCTGTTGCTTGTAGACCTAATGAAGAAATAGATTCAGTGATCAACCTCTTTCATCATCCCTACCTATATTGCTTTTTAGAAATGTTGGTCTATTCCACCCTATGTTGTGATTATATGTTAGTGCATGGCGAATGTTGAGTTTATCTCTAAACTATTCGTCTTTGTAAATTCAGTCATTCCACACTTAGCTAAAATCGAATGTTCCCATAGTCTGACTGCCACCGATCTACTGGTCTCAGCTATGTACCTCATCTCACAGTCATTGCAAAGTATTTCGTAGATTAAATTATTTTGTTCAACTGGGTCGATAAGGTTCTTTAGTCCACAGAGTTTGTCCCTGAGTGAGTTTGTAGGTGTAAATGGCACTCTAATTCCTGCTTTATTACGAATCCTTCATAGGGTTTCAGATATTTCTTCCTTATATGATGAAACTGTAGATGCCTCATATTCTTTCTTATTTATAATATCATTATTAGTTTCACCATTATCTTTCATTCTCCTGTTGACCTTTTCTGATCTTCCTAATGAATTTTATAGAATAGTTATTGAATACCAGCGCTTCTTCTATCTGTTTCACTGCATTATTTAAGTTTTCTGATGCTTAGTGTTATTCTTCGGTTTGTTTGACGTTTGTTAGCCTTTACAGACAACGGATGAGATGAATTAAAGTTTAAATATACAATATTAGAATGCGTTGGCTTTTTATTAAACGCTAGTGCACACATAGTTTACTTTCTCCTGTTCATTTTATTTCACAATCAAATGAAAATTTTATCCTCCCTACCAGTGAGTTTATATCTGTGAAGACACTAGAGATATGTTCTGCTTTTAAAGTTTTGAAAGTGTCATTCACATATATTTCAACCATATCTTTGGGGGTTGGATTAGCTATTTTAACAGACATATTTTCGCAACTCTCCATTTACTGATGTACTGTTTTCTTACCTTTTTACCAATGTTCATATATTTCGTTAATTTTATTCCCTAGTTTTTCGAGGAAATCAAAGAATACTACCAATTTTTCCATGTCTGCACCACTGTCGACATCAGTAGTATCAGTTAAGCGGTACAAATTTACTCTCAATCAGTTGAATAAGTTGAATTTCCTTAAACATCAAGATGCGACTGACAACAAATTGTTGAAACGACTACAGTTAATCATTGAACCATTGTGTCAGTTGACTTTCGCTGGTGATACCACTGATTGTGATGATGACGGTGGTGATGACATTGACGATAATACCAATGTTCAGAGTGACAGATTCTGTGAAACCCCAGGTAGTCATGATACTGAATTCATTAATAGTGATATAGATCAATTCGATTCTGATACTGACAATGACAGTTGTTATGGTCGGCTGAAAAGTTGGGGAAGTAGTAAATTGTACAGATCTACGAGAAAATTATTCTCAGACTCTGCATCAATAACTCCTAGTTCAAAATCCGTGTCTTTATCATCCAGATCTTCGTCTTTACCCACAAGAAGATATCGACAGAAACGAAAGCAACACCATAGTAGTGTTCAACGTTTAAATCACTACAGTCGTCACTGTCATCATTCTCAAAACAATAAAGCCAACTATTCATCATTAAATCGTCCAGTGTACAATGTGATTCCGGGTCTCTTCAAACTGACAATGTACTCATGTGGTTCACTAATCTATCAAGAATGCGTGAATCTTGTTGATTTGTTGCTATTACAGGAACAGCAGCAGCAGCAACAACAACAACAACAGAAATGCAAACAAGCTGGAGATGTTAGCGGAGATTTTGAGTTTAAAGTAAATGAGAAATTATCACTCAGTCTTTCAGTACTGATTAATACAATTATTGACAAATTTTATACTTAAAACTTAACTGGTTCGTTCCTATGTTGTGTGTGTGTGTGTGTGTGTACAGAGGTATCTGTATGACGCATCAAATGATAAACAAACAATGACTGTATTATTATTATTATCCCTGTCTATGTATATGGACATATACTACTAGGTGTCTGAATATTACGAATGTGTGTTTATATGACTAACTATTCCAACTCATCTTAAGTCGACAATAAAGGTGAATGATTACAGATTTAAGTGAGAATTCAATGATAAACAATCACTTATGTAAATGAGATAAACGATTTCCAACCTTTTTTCCTTGCTCACATTATCAATCAATACTGATAAAAATATAAATGCATAGAGTAATAGATAGACTGTCCATTCATGGGTAAATTCCTCTTTTCTCACTGTTTTATTTTCTCTATTTTATAGATAATCTTTAAAAGGTGTAAATAATAAATTATTATTCTAATATATCAGTGGTCTTCTTTTTTGTCATAATTGACGGCAACTCGTTCGAATTGTTCGACTATGTGAATTTGCATCCAACACAATGCGTCATCAGATTTCCTTTAATTGTTGTTTGTTATTGTTTTAACCGTTCAGTTATATCTCTGAGTAGCAAAATACGTATAGACACACACATACATTTTTAATTGGTATCCAAACTACTGGTCAGCATTTTTAGTAGGTGAAGGGAAAATATCATAAGGGATTAGTCTATACAGTACATCTCCAATTCATTCAGCTCTCCAGCCCTTTTTAGTTAGCTCTACGATCACCAATAAGCTTCATTTTCTTCCCACATGACCACCTCCAGATCATCCTCATACCCACTCCCAACTCGTAATTTCCGATTCGGGTTCCACTTGAGGGACTTCAATGGAATTTTACTCAACGGTCTCCTCAGCATATGTTCAACCAATTTCCGATTCCATTTGCATAATATATGTTGGACGACAGATTCCTGGTTGATTCGTTGCCAGAACTCCTTATTGCTGATTCTTGCTGACGGGAAATCTGATCTTCAATATTGACCACTGCCGTCTGCAGTGGTTGTTAGAAATTCTTTTCATGACAACCTATATGGAAACGCCGACTCGACAGTGATGCTGAGAATTCGGATTTTGTTTCTAATGTTGAGTACAGGAGATTTTTGCGTACTGACGTCACATTGATGAGGGTCTTGGTAAGATTATGAGCAACGAATTGTTCTTGAAATATAAATAGTAATAATAAATAAATAATATAGTATCACTGTGGTTTTATCAAATAAATCTACTCTATGGTGAAATTATACTCTTTCGCAGTGCCCAAGTTTCGTTCATATACTAACGGAAGTCTTCCTTGTCTTTGAGATCCTTGGTGCCTATAATATCCTCATCTGTGTTGTTTGTAACTGAAAAGATGCCGTCTAGATAAGTGTGAGAGATAACTTCCTTTAAGTTTCTTCTGTTGATGAATACTGGTGCTTCTTGGTGTTGTTGGGTAGGTATCTTTATCACCTGAAATCCCGTGTTTGCTGCCTGTCTCTTCTTTCAACCTACAGGTTTCTGCCACGGTCTACTGTATTATACAGTCCACCACAATCAGGGTAAACATCAGTGATAGTAGATAGTCTTGTCTTACTCCTGTTTTCACCTCAAAGGCATTGTTCAGCTTTCCGTTGTTAATCACCTGATATATGCGATATCATCAAATGGCTGTTGAATTAGGTGTACAAAGGTTTTATTGGAATTGCAGTGAGTAGGGTTGAAGCAGTTTCCACATTAAATCACAGTTGGCTGGCTAGTAAATTAGTGAATTAATAAAAAAATTTATTGTATTACTAAATCGATAACATGGTTGACAAGAAGCTTACACTATTTTTAGAATGAATTCATTTTATTCTGAAGAATTAATTACCTGATTTTTATTTCATTAAAAGAAAAGAGAAAAAAGGCATTATCAAAGTACTAATAATTTATGCATCTGAAGCAAACTTAGAGGAAATTAGTCTGAGTGCTGTGATTCCCGTCTGGTGATTACACGTTTGAATTGTGCTCTTCTTAGTATGCAGTATTAAAACAAATGTGATGCACCGCATAAGCTATAAACTTTACGGTAAGAATGTTATTATTATTATTACTATCTTGTTTCAGATATGACTGTGTTGCACCAAACAATAAACTATCGATTAATAATTTACTTGAAATTTCTTTGCGGTGAAGTGAATATCTTGCGTGGAATTACTGTAAGAACTTTGTATTGTATGTAAACACATTTTCTAGAATAAAGCTGATCTTATCATTTCAATTTTTCAGTCAGAGAACTAGTGTAAACCAGAAAGTACTGGGCGGTTATTTCGTTCCACTTAGGGGCTTTCTAGCAGCACGCACCCATCATCCCACCTCTAAGCATCGAAGTCAGAATCTTCAGGTTACAAAGCAAGCCAACTGACCATTAAGCTGCTGCAATCTAGTCCAATGTCCCACATATCTTCAAATCAATCAAATCCCTGCCAACTAACACCTGGAAACTAATCTATGAGTTGACTACAGGATAAAGTTAACTGGAAGTCTTGTGGGAAGTCACAACCATCAAGGCCAAGTTCAGGTTTCATCTTTTGGATACGTGCTGTTAAAGAGCTGGAAACAAAGACGAAATAGCTTTCCAGTACTCCATGGTTTTCAGAAGTTTTGTAACCGCACTCAGTTTGTGATGAGTCTTGAAATTAATCAAATTCCTGCAGGCAAACACCTGAAAATTATAATTATAATTATCAGAAAGATGGTTACTGAACAAAGAATACTCTTTTTGATTACTTCATCACTAGGTCCTACAGTGAATCAATTAGTGTTAACAACATTAATGCTCTTTAAATAACATCGAATCAATAATATCAATAGATTACAGTTCAATAGCGTCAACATAACAATAAACTGAATGTCAGAAAAAATTAGGAAAGATAGTAATACAAATTCATGAAATTATAGTCTCTACTGAATACCAGGGCAGTAGTATTGCCTGGACTTGCTTCTTCTGCAAACAAATCACTGGTTGTTTCACGTGAATAGCGATAGCCTCTTCTGTTCAGAGCATGTGGCACCTCGATGTTTTCGGTAATTAATTCGGTAGCCGGTAGATGATAGAGAAGGATTCGTGAAGAAAATAAAAGACGAATTCACCGAAGAAAATTTCCTTTATGGACTAAATCATCTTCAGAGGCTGGAAAGTCGTATTTATACTTAACAAAATTATATAAAAGGTCTATTATTGAGTAATAGGGGGTGACAAAATTGGTATAATTACTCGGAAGTGGCATTAGAAGTGAAAATTAAAAGTTGTAAATTACGTGGTACTCAATGGCACGAATACAGAAATTTGATAAGATTAAAATTGTTATTGAGTGAGAAAAAAGGTGATAGTTGAGTGTCAATGTAACAAGTATGAAAATGTACAAAAAGAATATATGAGAGTGATAATAGTGAATTACATATTAAAGTAAAAGCAAACTAAAAGTAAAAGAAAAAAGGAAAGGAAAATTCAAAATCTCTTTTACGGGGAATGACTAGTGAAGAGGTTAAGATTAAGGTAGAACGAGACTGGACAAACGTTTTCCGTATACATAGTTCGGATTTGCATTGATGAATTGCCAACGTCTCCACCACATACAAATGCCCGGAGCCTGACTCCCTTTGTATCATTCGGCCTCACCTGGTAGTTATCTTGAAGGACGACTATGGTGGGGCTACATGGCTTGCGTTCACTCAATGTTCGAGAATCGAGCTAGTAACTGTCTTGCAGTGTCTTTTTGCTAACCATACCGGATAATGTTCAGAGTTGCGGTTGGAAAGTGTGTGCTTTGTGCGGCCTATATAACCAGCTCCACACGAGCAGATGAATTCACAAACACACATCGAGATGGCCCAAAGTGGTAGTTTATCCTTCACACATCCATTGATCATTTGTCGGCTGTAGAAATTGATACGTAGCTTAGCTGCAAAGGAGGCTTTTCTCAGCGACCTGTATAAGCGATTCTTCAGGATCTCAGCTGCGGTATCATCTTTAAATTCAACGCTCATAAATAGCAGTTTCTTCGGCACCCTCTGAGTTCTTTCAGGCTTTACCCTTAACTTCATGTTTTTCTCGATAAATCTGGGAGGATATCAATTCTCTATGAGGACTTGTCTGAGTCGCCTCAGTTCCGCATTGATTGTATCACTGGAGTATATCCTTCTTATTCTTGAAGATAAGGAGTGGATCAGGTTTCTCATTCTTCTCAAAGGGACTCAACTGCGAAAATTCGTGTATTGACCATTCCATGTAGGCTTCCTGTAGATCGATCTTTGAAGGGAACCATCAGATCTCCTTTTTAGAGAAAACATCCAGAAATGAAATTCCGAGTTCATCCCTGATTCTGACGTGAACTGGATGGCATGATGGCAATTTTTGAAATCCTTGGTTATCAGTTCGATTTAGGATTCATCAATGCTGCTTTTGTGGCCGATTTGCACCGGGTAGTCTAATGTCGAACTGTTGATGGTTTTTACTACGCCTTTACTTATCTATACTGGGAGATGTTCTCGAGCACGAAGACTCAAGTTCCTAGAGCAACGGTCGATTTAACTTGCTCCATAAGCCCAGTTGAATTGGCACATACCATTGGAAGGGGCTAGTCTAGGTTCTTCTTCTTTCGATCAAGGAATTATTATCATTATAGGTGTTATGTAGATTATGGGAATCATTAAATACCTTCTAATGTATAAGAAACAATGTAAGTATCCCTTTAAATTCCTGTAGAACAAGTTATTTCCCGTAGTAGAAGTAGAATACAAATCAGTGTGGAGATGGATATTTCAAAATAAAGTTTTCCTATTTTACTATCACTCTGTAATTTTCATTGCGTGAACAGTTCTTCGAGTACATAATCTTGTGTTCTTTGATTGGACACTAGTAACTAGTGTGATGCGTCTAGTCTTTTCTTTGGTTCACACTGAATTCTTTCAGTCAGGTTTGAAACAAGGCCACAATTCTAGTTAGCT